GAAGATGGAAGGAGTACATCGAAGAGTTCATGAATGAAGAGAATGAGGGTGAGGAGAATAGACGGAGGAGAGTCAGTGAATCAATACGTGGAGGAAGTTAGGGTAGCTGTGAAGAGGATGAAGAGTGGAAAGGCATGTGGTCCGGGCGCCATACCTGTGGAGTTATGGAGATGTCCAGATGACCAGATGGTTTGATACAATCTCAGAGAGTGAGAGGGCACCCGAGGGATGAACAAGTGCAAAACTGCAGGAACTACAGAAGGATAAAGCTGATGACAGAGTTGTTGAAGCTAGGTTATGAGAAGAGGTGACCATCAGCGAGCAGCAGTACAGCTTCACGCTGAGAAAGAGCACAACAGATGTGACGCTTTCTTTGAGAGCGTTGATGGAGAAGGTCAGAAGGCGCTTCACTGTGTCTTTGAGGATCTACAGAAAGCATATAGGATGCCAAGAGAAGAGCTGTGGTACAGCACGAAGAAGTCAGGACTGGCAGAGAAGTATGCGCGGGTGGTGCAGGACATGTAGCAGGTGGAAAAGAGCCTGGAGAGAAGAGGAATGAACCTCGGTAAAGCGAGACGGAATACATGTTTGTGAATGAGAGGGAGACAGTAACAGTGAAGGAGCAGGAAACAGAGGTAGTGAAGGCAGTGGAGTTTAAATACGCATGCACAAAGGAGGTGAAGAAGAGCATGCAGGCAGGTGGAGATGAGTGTGGGGGGGGATTTGTGATAGAAGGATGGCAGCGAGAGTGAAAGGGAAGGTTTACAAGTATGGATTGGAGAGGGTGGGAATGATGAAAAGACAAGCGGTCGAGCTGAAAATGTTCATGTTTTAACTGGGAGTGTGCAGGACAGAATTAGAAATGAGTACATTAGCAGGAAGACAAAGTTAGAGAGATAAGGCTGAGATGATTTGAGGAAGAGGAATAGTGGATATATTCATGGATGTGAAGGAGGGTTGATGTGACATAGAGTGATGCTGGGGACAGAGCTGGAGGACGATCATTTGCTATGGTGGTCCCTACGGGGGGCATTCGAAAGAAGAAGAAGAAGATGTAGAAAGCAGTGTGATGTGGTTGGTCTTTATCGACGCGTCAAAGGTGCAGCAGTGGCTCAGAAACTCAGTAATAAAGTAAAACATCAACACTGGAGGCGAAGCTTCCTTTCAAGAATGTTTAAGTAACCAAAAATATATTCATGTACACACAGCATAAAGTCACACACATATACATAAAAATAAAAAGATAAAAAATATGTAAGCAGTGACAGAAATAAAAACTGTCGAACAAGCTATCCAAACACGTTTAAATCATTAGGAGAATTTGTAAGCCCCTGCTCGAAATCTCTCTGTAATTAAATGTTATTAAGCAGTCTCTTTCTAATTGTGCTGCATTGTATTCATGAGGAAATATGCTTGACTATTTAAAGATGTCGGTAAACACCATTTAGGCGTGGTGTGTGGTCTTCAGTTTAGTGGCCTGATTTCTTCTGTGAGCGTAAATGATACTGAAAGAAATCTGCAATATTATCCACATTTTAATAAAGATTTATGAGGTTTGAGATGTTGCACTTGTCCCTGAAGTTACATCAAAATAAAACACGTTCAGATAAAAAAATAAGAACACTGAGGGGGAAAAGCCCCTGATCTTTAAAGCTTCGAAATGTGCTTAAATCTAACAAGCTGTGTCCTGAATCAAGATGTTCTCAGTATTAGTCTGTGCTTCAAATCCACGCCGTGCTTTCGAGCTCAGCGTTTGCAGAGCGCCGTTCTAGAGAAAAAGGGAGCAGAGAGGGTAGGAAGTCACTTCCCGCCGGCCTGTCTGTGGTCTGTGTTTGTCAGTTGATTTGAAGCTGCTCCACCAACATGCTGTGACAGGAAAGGAATTAACTCAGAGAGGAGACGAAATTTAAAATAACACCTCAAAGGCAGAAGATGTTAAAAACTATTAAATGTGTGATGCATGTTCAAAGCCGCAGACTGAACTTTGACATGTTACAAGAAATGCAACATTTAGCGTGTTCTTTAAAGCTTTTGTTTGAGTTTAATCGGCATGTTAAAGAGAGACTTTCAAGTAGATCTGTGCAGTTCCCATGTTTTAGTCTGAGCCAAACCAGCTTTAGCAGGGTGACCTGATCCCACCTGGCCAAACATGAAGCAACGAGCAAG